TACCTAATGGCAAGAGCAAGTTCGTTCTTGAAGAACTCGCGTGTATCGGCTGGAGCTTGAGCGAGCAAAGCTTGCAGTTCTTTCACTTCTTGTTCGTGGACTCTGAATAGACCTGATTTATGGACAAAACCACCTTGATAAATGTAAAATCATAAACAGAATCGAAAATCGCTAGGGAGTCAAAAGACGCACCTGCGCAGGAATTCTAGTTCCTCCATGAGGGTTTGCACTTGGTTTTGGAAATCAATACGGCCAATGGTTTCTTCGTCAAGATCCTACAGAAAGAAAAATTCAGAGAAATATAGAGAATCTGTGACTAAATACGGGTAGTAACGTACATTTCTGGCTTTCTGGAGATCTTCCCAAATGCGAGCATTGTCATTATTCAATCGTTTCTCTTCATCAGTGAGCTGCTTCCACCTGAAACGTGGACCCATTTTTGAAGAAAATTTGGGGTCCAAAGGCCACTTACCTGGCCCGGAGCATTTCGAGTTCATTCTGGGCATCAGCGATAGCATTTGTCCATTGAGCAATTTTTTCGCGATCGGCTTCTCTGCGGTGCTGGATGTCCTCATAGCTGAAAAATAATATTATATATATCATCGCTCAAGGAACAAAAAGCGTGTGAATTCTGCGTGTGAGTAAAAATGAGAATTTTCTTCTCTGACGCATGAACAGGATTTTCCTACCCGACTGTCAGCATTTACAGAAATGCTTAGCAAACAATGTCCCGTGATTACTTGTTCGCATTTTTCAGGCTCACTTTTTCCACTGCTCAGATAGCTTCTCATAACAATCTTAGCCTATCTTAACATATTCGTGATTATCACACAGACTTAGTTTTCCTTATCGAACTGGAAGTCATAATTGCGCCTTTTAAACTTCATGGTTTGTTGCCCCTTAGCTAAGCAAACAGTGTTTAACAATCGATTCATGCGTTTTGTGAAAGCAAATAAAGATAGGAGTAGTTTTGAATCAATAATCCAGTATCCAAAAAAGCAGGCACATATATGTACTACCAGAAGTGAATCATCAAAGTATCTGTATAACAG